GGGGCTTGTCATGTGAGAAAATGTTGTTTTCGTGCAGTTTTCGCTTGACTTCGATAATCTTCGAGGTCACATCGTCAAAACCCGGGTGTCGACAAAATTCGGCCATGAAATTCGTGGATGACAAAGCAAAACAAATATGTCGAGACAGACTTCGCTTCTACGGTTCCTTCAGCCGAGGTCCGATCGTGATGACGACGAGATGTGGCAACATCAGCCCAAGCTCTTCAGAACCCCGAAGGAAGCGATGAAGCTGGAAACCAACGGGAAACACGCCCGGACGAGCGAGAAGTGGACAGACCGTGCCGTGGGAGCGCCGAGACGAGAGGGGGAGGGGGGCGGGCCATGTGCTCTCGACAACATTCCCGGGCCCTCCTCCACGGCCTCCCGAGCTCCTTCCGACTGTCCAGTTCCGGGTCATCAGAGTCGGAGTCCGAAACCGAATCAACCGAGAAGTCAAGTGCAAAAAGATTGAGGCTTTGTGTGATTTTTTTTTCATTTCTAGATTTTTTTTTATATTTTTTTTTCGATCTCGGCATCCTAATTTGCCCTTTTTCGGTAAGATCATTACTGTTTTATTTCCATAGCGATGCAATTTCCACTCTTGCTACGATCATTTTTAGCATTCTTTACGTGTGGAATATTAATTTGATATTAATAATATTTAACTTATTAATGTACTACTGGAAATATGTGGTGCACCCAAATTTTTTTTGGTGCACCTAATTTTTTTGGTTAGGTGCACCAGTGCACCTAATCAAAAAAATGAATTTCGATCCCTGATATGTATCCCCTTTGTAACCAACATTTTCATTTCATGTACCCTCCCTGATATGGCGAAATATGTTCTAAAAGTCAGAACTAACCAGCTTGCTTTCATACCATATGTATGTACCTACATGTATCTAACTAGTTTTATTCTAGCTCTTATGGCGTGGCATTATTATGAAAGTAAAAATAAATTTTATTTTGCATCTATGTTTGAAACTGGAACGTTAGGCCACACCAATTTAATTTGTTGGTTCTCGGATTTTTTCAGAAAAAATATGAAGCGACAGGGCGAAAAAAATAAAAATAAAAACAGGTCTGGGCATCCTATTATAGGCTTAAATGCTATGGAATGAGCCATGAAGTCAACACAAAAGGCTGGGTTAAAATTTAAACATTGAATTTTGAACTTTTAATCAAATCACTGCAATGATAGATGGGAAAACTGTAACAACTAGGAAAAAAAGGACTTTCCTGAACTGTTGGGGGCAAAACATGAGCATTTTTCAGTTGATTCAGGACCAGAATCAATTTTTTTTTTTTTTTGCAAATCAGAAAAAAAACGAAGAGGCGAATCCGAGAACCAACAAATTAATTGGTGTGGCCTTAGGATAGATTGGCCCAAACATTATTGATATTGTTATTGTGGAGTTCTTATTGTTTTTACCACTTTTTTCTCCAAAAATGATACATTTCTTGGACACACTTGCTGTAACACTTTCTAGGGCTGATGCTTGTCACCGATGCGATCAACGCCATGGGGTACCCTATAGGAACGCACAAAATCGGACAGTTAGACGTCGACGTCACATCGGACGGTCAAGCCTGCATCTCAGGAACCAATACCCTCTGTGGAAGGTACCATTGTCTAACAAGCAGGGGTGTCCCAATTACATGGAGCACTGACGTTATAATACTGGAGTCATTATAGCCAATATTCAACACCATCAAACCCTATCCAGCCTTTTTCTCTGTTAACTTTGTTATGGAAGTTGATGGCTTTTACGTTCCATTTTGAATTGCATCTTGTGGCTATCTTCCCAAACCATTAAACTGTTGGATATGGGGGTTTTCTTTTACACAATCAAACTACTAGTATTCCTTGCTTGGAAGGTGTCTATCTGATAGACACCTTCCTCAGCGCTTCTGATGGGAGGTCTGCTTCTCGCCGCTATACATTTGTATGTAGCCGATGTAAGTGGCACCTTTTTTGGCGACAACAGAACGCAGCAAGGTAGGAACAGTTTGGTTGTGTAAAAGAAAACCCCTATACTCTACCAAACCGATGAAACTAATTTGATAGACTATAACCTGAACTTCACTCGACACGGCCATGCTCCATGTTCTAGGGAGACCCTAAACTGTTTGCTTTTCTGATGCCTGTACCAAAAATGACTGATAGCTGAACATGACAGCCACATACCGTGTAGATTTACATCATCACCTATCTTTCCTTGACCATGATTGTTTATTTACTAACTACCAAGAGCAAGGGAACACCACAGTCCTCTCTTAAATTTTCAGTTGTTTTGCAACATTTTATCTTCTAAAATGGTCCACCACCACAGCATTTGCTGTTCTTTCCTTTCATAAACTGCTATATTTCGTGTCGCAAATAACTATGAACTAAAGGAACGAAACAGTCCTCTGCTCTCTTGTATGTACTTCGATTTGCTATGCAATGCAACATTTTATCTCCTAAAATGGTCCACTATCGCATCATTTTGCAGTGTCCTTTTCTTTCCTAAATTAAACTGCTATATTTCATGGCATGAATTCAAAGTTCATCTGTGTTGGTATACTTCCTTATGACAAAAAGGGCTAAACGTTCTTCCCAACACTGAGTAAATTGGGACTCGACCCAAATTTTCGGCCGAGGAATGGAGGATGTGACGTCGGAAACACGTGATTGCATTTCCCAAATCACTACGGTATGGCATGATGGTCAGCTTTTGGTTGACATTGGGTCCAGCATCAGAAAAGCATCTGTGTGTGTGTGTGTGTAGCCCCTCGGTCCCTAGTACTGATCCTGGGATGTTACTATGTGAACACTACAGGTATTGTGCTGGTCACTGATGCCATCACGGCCATGGGTTTACCAATCGGCAGCTACAAAGTTGGGCAACAAGAGTTTGAGGTGACCCTGGAGGGCAGGGCTTTTGTACTGGGGACCAAAACTCTCATTGGAAGGTACAAATAGCCACACCCAAGTTATTTGATGGATCAAAAGTTCCTCAGATCTCTGTATGTTTAACAAACAAAATCCCAAATCTCATAAAACTTCCAATAGATCCTAGTGATAGGCAATATTTGCATAATCTAATAGTAGCTGTGCATGTAGGTCAACCCTTTTCTAAGACCTTTCCCCAACTCCCCAATGATGTAAGAAATGTCTCCATTTTCTAAAACGTCTGCTGAATTCTGGTAGCTCCTTCGTATAGTTTATTTCCTATAACTTTGTTATACATGTAACTCTTTTAAGTGATAAAAGGTACGCTGTGTAGTTTAATGATAATATACTTTATTTGCAAAATCTTGCCCGAAGGCTAATTGATTTTACAGTCAAAGGTACTGTTCGGTATGATACAATTATAGGAGACAGACAACCACTGTCTGGAAAAACTTCTACTACTACGCTAGCTATTATGAGGTTTGACTTCTTCTTTGAAGGCAGTGGATAATGAATAGTCCCACATTCTGCATAATGAGTGGGTTTTGTGATCTTAGTAGAAATGTAGTCTTTTGGTGATCTAATGTAAAATGTTCTGCAACAGGACATTTCATTTGTTCCATCCTTCATTTTTTGCACAAACCCTTTAAAATCTGGTGTTTCCAGTGTAAGTGCTACATATTTAGATATCTTCTCTCAGACTATATGTAAGTATGGGTAGTGATTTTTTAATGGAGTTTCATAAGATTATAACTATTAAAGGAAGTTCCAGTCCAGTATTATTACATGTGTGCTAAAAGATCACTGATTTCTTTTTTTCCTTTCAGCATCGTCACAATGGACAAGTGTGTCAAACACTTTCTCGAGGCAACAAGCTGCTCTGTAGAGGAGGCCCTGGATGCTGGCACACGCCACCCGGCAGAGATGCTCGGTATTGCAGCTCAGAAGGGGACTCTGGGCTACAACTCTGATGCCGATTTTATCCTGCTAGATGATGAGTTGAATGTCCAGGCGACGTACATTGCAGGGGAGTTGGTCTGGGATAAAGTCAAAGGACACCACGGCAAACGTACCATACAAAGGAAGACCCTCAGTTGATTTTAAGATATATTTTCAGCACTTAAAAAAGTTATCTTGGGATATTGTTGCCCTAGTTTTTGTTTTCACAGAACCTTCAATGCTTTCCTTACATGTTTTTTTATTTCATTCTTGCAAAATGCAGGAACCTGGCAAAACTGTGGCCTTAGATTCGGACTGTAAGGTTGTTGAGGTGAATGCATCAAAGCCATGTAGAGCTGCACTTATAGAATTGCAAAAAAAAAAGATTTAGAGTACAACAGCAATAATTCATATATGTGCACTGGTTCATATGCTTTCTTTCTCTTCTTCTTTGATACCATATTAAACCTTCTACTTGAAAGAACATATCAAAAATTACTTATACACCATTTTAACACCACCCTAATACCTAAATTATTGAAAATTTTAAGATTGATAGATGTTTGTGAATGAAACTGATATCAAATAATTTGACAGTAAGCATTGTAGGTGCTAAATTATATGCTGTTCTGTTGGTTGTTTAATTTTTGGTGTATGTTCACACTTTGAGTTTGACAAACTTTCTCACTTGCCACACTGTAAAACTTGTTACGGTTTGAATTATTTTCCCTATGGTTATGTGATGAATGAAAAGAACTTGTGTATATTTCTGTCAATAGATATGGTACAACTTTTGTTATTCATTTGTAACCATTTCAAGTGATGAAGAAATTCTATTTCATTTGTGCATAGTTCCTAGAGCAAGGATTTTAGCCTTGGGTGCCAGAAATCAGCATTATATTATCTGTGAGACAGATATAATTGCAAATAAATTATGCAGAAAGAAAGAAAAACTGAAGTGCACTGTAGTTGTATTTTTGTTGTATTTTTTTTACAGCATAGGAAAATACACAGCTCACTTGTTCAACAGCCACATAACACTAGAAAAACACACCCCTACACCAATAACGAGAAAAGGTGGTTATTGGCAATAGGATCAGTATAAACTTTCTGTTTTTCTATAGTACCAAGGGAACAGAAATTTACCAAACTGTCTCTAAGGCCACACCAATTTAATTTCTTGGTTAACGGATTTTTCTAGAAAAGTAATGGAGCGGGCAAAAAAAAAAAAACAGGTCTAGGCATCCTATTATGGCCCAAAATGGTACAATAGGAGCCATGAAGTCAACACACCAGGCTGGTTCAAAATGTAAACAATGAATTTTGAACTTTTAAAGATACCACTGCATTGAAAGATGGAATAACTGTAACAACTAGGAAGAAAAGGACTGTTTTCAACTGTTCAGGGCAAAATATGAGCATTTTGCAGTTGATTCTGAATTTTTTTTTTGCAAATCAGAAAAAAACTAGAAAGGCCGACATTTGCTTTGGAGCAAATACAGCAATGGCTTCACCACATTTTACGACATGGCAGGGAAAGAATGAGAAACACAAGGGAAAACAATGCTTTACATTGATATAACTATAGTATGAAGTAACATACAACTAAGACTACAACAGTTGGATAGCTATTCCCTACATTATTGGTTAGGATTTTTAATTGCATAATGCAAACTGTTGATTTTCAAGAAAAAAAGAAGCGTTCATGCCCCGCATTCCAATGCTGGAGCAGGAAAGCTTAAAATACCTACCAAAACACTTGAATACAGACATACTGTCAGTATGGAATGGCTCTGTGCAGGTATTAATTAAGTTAAGCCTGTTAAATTCCAACAGCCAATCAGCAAGGAGAATAGAGGAAAGCTGCATGCCTATTGGTTGATGCCCTGCATTCCATTGTGATGACTCATGCCCAAATCTGGTAACACTGCACACTAACTCAGTAATACATTTGCTATAACACAGCCAAAAAACTCAAATAAAACCATTCTAAAAGCCTGTATCACAAAAATTAAAAAAACGCCTGGGGGTATTTGCCTACTGTACCTCCATACCAAATTTCAGGTCCTTAGGCCCCCAAATGAAGAAGCTGAATCCATTTAAAGAAATGGCAGGAGGAGAAGAAGAAGGAGGAGAATCATGAGAAAAAGCAATATGGTTTCACCACTTTGTGGTGAACCCATAATGAAGCGGGCGAATCCATTAACCAAGAAATTAAATTGGTGTTAATTAAATTATCTTTAACAGCTATCAGTTTAGAATTTGCTCTACAGATTCTAGAAAACTACCACAGTACCTAATACAAGAGATGGGGTAGAACAGTGATTAAAAATATGATTCAATTTGACATGATTACTCTGTAATACATTTTTCAAGCAGGTCGATCTTGAAGTGTACACCTCACCAGATTGGCTAAACCTGTAACTTCAATATCAAAGGTTTGCTTACATCCAAGGGACAAATTTCCATTGTTTTTTGCCTTAAACGTATAAAGCAAAAGCACACTATTCTTTGTATCAAATATTTGGGAAATGTTTCTACCAGACCTATCCCGGGCCAAAGTGCACGTACATAATTTTACAACTCAAATCTGATAGGGCAAGCTATAAATAAAAGATCCTTGATTGTGTACATCTATGTTTGGTCAAGCCTGCAGCTGCAATACCTTCAAAACCCAGCTCTATCCATACAGGTGCATGTACAGTATTTACAAATTCATTACATACCTTCTATGGGAAATGGGGAAGAATAGCATCAAAACTCGGACCAGTATACATTGTATTTTGCATACACACACGTGGCAAACAAGTCATGTCAAGGTATGATATACCACCTGAATATGCAGGAAAAATCTGACCTTTGCCGGTATTTTCTATATGTACATGTCCCATAATAAAATTAGCCCATGACACTTATCTTGCAGGTACATTCTGTAATTTTTCACATATTTCTAGCCTTGTATAATTACTAACCATAAAATCTCGTACAGAGTACTTGAATGGATCCATTTCAAATCAGCAGTATTAATATTCTTCAGAAAAGTATTCTTTTCCCCCACAGGGCTCAAAATACTGGGTGCATGTGCACCTTAGTGCACCCAAATTTGGAGCTGTGCACCAAATCTATTTCTCTGGGTTTATATGTTAAATGTAGAGTAGTATACAACATATTCTTAACATCTCAAATGTCAGAAAAAAAAAATCATTTACTAGTAGTACTTTTCTTTAGAAATGAAACATAATTTGCTTTTGCTGACACTCTACTAATTTTATTTTATATGGAGCACCCAAAATTTTTGTGCACCCATTTTTTTAGGTTGGGTGCACCAGTGCACCTATTCCAAAAAATGAATATTTCGAACCCTGCCCCACGATTACAAGTCTTTAAAAAAAAGGCTCTGGATGACAGTCCTTGCATATCTGGTGTGAACTAGTCCTGTTTGAGAGGGAATCCTGCTTTTGGCTTTTCCCTGAAGGCCACCACCACAAACATGACCAGGATGATGTGAACAACCACCACAGCAACTATTGCACTGTAGAAGTACGCATCGTTCTCCTCCATAGACAGCATTCCTGGTCAGATCAGAGAGAGAGAAAGTCAAATCCATGTCGGGATACGTCAGGAAATGACAAAAATTTTGTTTGTCAAAAAATCATCATAACATACTGTCATAGTGTTTTTTTTTAGATCCGTAGATATCTGTGGAACTACGATAAAAAAGATGGAGGCACAAAACAAAAACTGTGGAAAGAACTGTCGTTCAAAACAACAAAAAAACCTTGTTTATATTTCCAAAGCCCAATAGAACATAAAGAAGCACAGTTGGGAGCCTTCATCCATAAGCTTACAGCTCTGGATTTGAACATGCACATTGCATTACACTGTAGTTTAATTTCCCAATAATTATTTCATGAAATTCCATCATGATATGGTCTGGACAATCTTCCTCTTGAACTCATCGATTAAAGTCTTCCCCGGGTGTCCTAGAATTAAAACATTCCCTGTTATCCTCTGTGAGCATGTCGGCAGAACGCACCGCGCCTGTGCAAAAACCTTATTTTTCTCGTTTTTTGTTGGATGGATGGATGTTTGGTCAACGTTGCATCAGAATTTTGCCTGTTGCAGATGACATCTTTTCCGACATAACATTTGGAAACTACAGACAGGATGATAACCTTATATGCACGAATACGACCTTATATGAGACGTTCTGCCGAAGTGCTATGCACAATACATTACGGGTTTCGCGCAGGTGCAGTACGTTCTGCTGACATGTTTCCTCTGTGCAGTATGTTGAATTCAGTCCCCAGGTTCTTCATTCTTCCCACAGTCAGAACAGAAGGAGTGGTAGTGATCTTACTGTTGGAAAGTCTTGAAACATGAGTGTTAGTCTTTCTTCTTGCTTGTGGTTGGTGTGACTGTCGTCCTCAGGCCCAGGTCATCTCCATACAGCACGTAAACAGCTAGTGCCAGAACGAGGTGTATTGTTACGACGGCAACAATGGCACTGTATATGTTAGCAGTCTGAGGGTCCACATCAAATATACCTGGAAACCAACAAGACAGAATGTCAGAGTTAGAAATCATCTCCAATGTGAAATAGACCCACTATACTGTTAAGCATTCAAAACGAAAGTAAGGTTTACATTAAGGCCACAGCAATTCAATTTGTTGGTTCTTGGATTCGCCTCTTAATTTTTTTCTGATTTGCAAAAAAAAATGTGAATCAACTAAAAAGAAGCTCATATTTTGCCCCATTTTTACAGTTGAGGAAAGTCATTTTCTTCCTAGCTGTTACAGTTTTTCCATCTATCAATGCAGTGGTTTGATTAAAAGTTCAAAATTCATTGTTTAAATATTTATCCAGCCTTTTGTGTTGACTCCATGGCTCCTATCATTGCATTTTAGGGTAAATTTGGGCTTTAACAGGATGCCTAACCCTGTTTTTATCTTTATTTTTTTCACCCTGTAGCTTTAAATTTTTTCGGGAAAAATCTGAGAACCAAAAAATTAAATTGGTGTGGCCTAAAGGCATCCAATGCAATTTCAGGGTGGCAAAACTGGGTGCAGGACTAATTTAAACACAGTTTTATACAATGTATATTGTAACTTACCTTCGAACACTACTGTCTTGGACATGAAATACAGGCCTATAGGAGCTGTCACCATCATAAGTGTGAAGACTAGTAGTGTCCTGAATGGTCCTACATTCTCTTGATCTGGGCTGAAACAAGAGAATCACACTTTGAATATGTCAGTGTGAACTTGTGGTTGCAGTCTAGAACGTTAGTTGGTTGACTGGAAATGTTTTCAGCTTCCTTTACTAAATTTTCTTATAGTTAAGTTATGACTGTATCTGTATCTGTATAGCTGGTATAACTGCCCTTTGGCATAACATTGACTTGTTATGCCTAACCCTTGAACATCTAACTCTAGACATTGTTTAATTTAAAGCTATCTAATGACAATGCCATGCCTCTACTGTACTTGGTGACAGTGAGTTCCACTCTGCGATAGTTCTAGGAAAGAATGAATTCTTGAACACCTCAATCCTTGGTTGATAACTCTGGTACTTGAGGGTGTGGCTATTGCTATTTCTTGTTCTTTTCTGAGCTGGTATTAGGCACTTTGTAGTTGGTACGTCCATGGAGGTAGAAAAAAAGGGTACGTCCACCAGTTTATTAGTCATTTTGTACATCATGCATAGTTTAGAGTGGACATTTTTCTTCTGTCTTCCAGTGACACCCACTGTAGTGATGTTAATCTGATCGCACACATGCATATAATTGATCTGATTTGCATTGCCATAGAGACTAGTGGGCATGATGGACAAAGGATGCAAAAATTCTTTGTTTTCGCGTTAAACGTTGAATACATTTTCGTGCTACCAACACTATCTATATAGCTATTCATTCTAATTATGTATAACCTATTCTATTATTATCATGTATAAGATGATCAAAGTTGCCATGAAAAAGGATCCGACCAAACCATTGTGGTTTGATCAAGCTGCGTACAACACATCGGACAAAATCATTCCCCCTTGTTCAATCAAAATGACATGCCACTATGAGTTCGGTGCCCCCCTCCCCACCCAATTTTCAAACATATATTTGCCTTCAAATAGGAAAAAATAAACCCCAAAACATACGCCAGTAGGCCTAATACATTATTATCTTTTCTTCAGATATGTTCAGATCCAAACAAACGGTCAAAGAAACCTGAGAAATCTCAAAATTTACCTGTAGTACGTTACATGTGTCGTCCCTGTGTCAGCCATTTTGTCTTCCTCTTCGCAGTAAGTATTTTGAATAGAGGGGTGTACTATATTTTAGTACGGTAAAATTGAAAGATGAACAGAATTTTATTCACCAAATTAGGCTTTACAATAAAAAGTATTATCCGTTTGACTATCATTACGACATAGTCAGATTCTTTACTTTATTTTAAATGCACAATTAATAACATTTATGATATGGTACCCCTTTATTGATAATGGTATATTCTAGTATATTGGTCAAAGGTTAGTCCTATGACTATTCCGGAAGGGGAGGATCTCAGTTGCTTACTTTTGCATTTTGTCGTGATTTTCTTCCCCCAAAATCGTCCTGCGATATCCTCTCTCTTGAACCCGTTGGTGCAGAGGACCGCGGGACATTTCCAGTATTCACAGGAATGCTGTATTTCTGAGGAAAAGCGTTCTTCAAAAGCCTTACTTGAACTGCACTTGGACGTTTAGCAAGACTCAGCACTCTAGTAACTTTGTAGCATGTCTATTATACAAGTCCAGTCGAGTAAGTCGGGCGGGAGCTCGACTCTAGCCGACAGGACAGCGTTCTACGGGACACGGGTTCCTCCTGAAGTCAAGGCCATGGTCAAGGAATTAAAGAAGTTGGACAAGAAGACGTTCCGAAGTCTCCTCACAGGTAATTGTGCCTAGGAAAAAGTATGTTGTGTTTCCTGTTTCAGTCCTGAAAAAAATTAGGGTCGATAGGTAGGGATTTTTTTTTTCTTCCTTTTTTTTAAACTTTGGTCTAGTGATCCAACTTTTACAATACCAGTACTGTTTAACAAAGTAAAACTTGAGGACGCTCGTATATTTTTAATGTCAAAGTTGGAAAACCGATTGTACAACGTTTCATCACTCAGGTTTCAGATCATGGAGCTAGAAATGGTTGATCAGCACAAAAATTTTATGTCCCTTGCAGGGATCCACACAAAAAAAAGGCTAGGGTCGGTAGTTTTTTCTAGGGTTGGTTGGGAAACAGGAAACAACATTTTTTCCCTAGGCCTACTAGTAACGGGATACCCTAGGATTTAAGATAGATGTGATGGGTTCTTGGTTCTATTAAACATTATGAAAAACCATGACTTTTGTCCCAATTTTTATCACATCCAGATTACCAAATTTTAAGATACTTCTTGTTCTCTTTTCTTCACGTACTGTTTTTTCCTCCACAGTTGCTGTTTCGGCCCTTGAAGGTGCAGATGTGGACACCAAGAGCTTCACTGACCTACAGACCAATGGGATGACAGAAGATCTCATTAGCATAATTTATTCTGGGCTGCTCAGCACCTTGAGGTTGGCATTGAGGTTACCCCAAACCTCCCTCAAACCTGAGGTACTAAAGCTATTTTCTAAAAAATAAAAATATTAAATATCAACTTGACAAGTTTTCTATACTAATATTCGTAAAACAGGTAGACATTGCCATGTCATTGCTGAGCTGAAGATATTAATTTTTGTATCATTTCATTTTTTAGCTCTTCAAGGAGGATCTCAAGGAACTGAAGTAAGTTAAGAATCACCGCTACAAAAAGGAAAATGAAGATTGTTCTTCACTTATTCTTTTAGCACTTTTATGTCCCAACTTTAATGTTTTAGGGGAGTGACTGCCATTTCACAATTTATATTCATGTTCATAGCTCAAATCTTGATGAAGTAAAAATATTGTCATCATTTGTAAGTTATCTTGCTTTTCACTTTTCTTGCAGCATTCCAGAAGAGTTTATTGTGGACCTTGCCAGTGCTGTTTTTGGAGGAAAGTGAGTAATTTTAGATTTCCTTACCTGTTCTCACATTAAAATTTGTTCTCTCTTTTTTCCCTTGATATGAAGACAAATGCATAGGTTGCAGTTGGTGTGTTGACTTCATGGCTCCCTGCTCCTATCGTACCATTTTGGGCCATAATAGGATGCCTAGGCCTGTTTTTATTTTTTTCTCCTGCCCGCTCCATTATTTTTCTAGAAAAATCTATTAACCAAGAAATTAAATTGGTGTGGCCTTAGAATGAGAATATATCCTGGATAATACCTTACCTCAAATTCATCCATTATATTCATGTTGGCTGTGAGCAAGGAGGTTTGAAGATGAGCAATAATGTTGGTCTGGGTCTGACTCTGAGATATTACATGTAGCAACCAAACTTTACAATAAAGCTGTATATGACTGACATCTAGTGATCTGTAATGGTACTGCAGGAGGACCCACCTTGATGCCTCTGCCCAGGACAGTAGAAGCCGACTTCCAACCCTGCAGAACTTCAGGTGGAGAGTAGATGTTGGCATATCAACCAGGTAAATCCACCACAAGAAATACAGCCATTATTTCTCCTCAACAATTGTTTTTGAACATTTATTTTGGATTTTTATATAGAGGAATAAAACAAAAATATTTTTTGGCTCCAGGCTGTTTTCTGTTTTCAAGGGGCAATTCATTGTTCTTTTGCAAAAAAGTGATCTTTGAAGGTTTATTTAGATTACATTTGACTAACAGAAATAACATTGTACTAATGCATCATCATGGGGTATTGTACAGTTATGATCAGATGAACAAGAAATGGGAGGTTTTAGACTTATGTGAAGTACATTGTACATGTATTTTGGATTTTTATTACATTCAAGTTATTTCCTGTGTCTGACCTTTTGCCCTGTCATTCTGCCTGTTAATCTTCCCCATTCATGTGCTGTAAAAGCTACTCTGTCCAGACAGACACAGACACATACACCCACAGCTCAGCCACCCAAAACAATACTTCCGTAGCTGGAAGTAACAAGGCAGTAGAATTCTTTGTCATACAAATAGAAATCTTCACTGCACATACTAAACATGTTTCTTCAGTGCCCCTTTCATAAGGGTTGAATATTCAATGTTACTTATGTAAAGTCTGAATCTATTGATATTCATGTCAGACATTCTTCCATGGGTTATTGAACTTATCATTGATGTGATGTAACAATTCTCACTGTGGAATAAACATGTGTTGAATAACACTCATGAATATTAAATATGTGTACGTGCAGGTGTGCACTCTTCTGTTGTATAACATGTCTGTTGCATAAGTTGTTTTTTGTCATATTTCTATCATTCTTATATTTATCAGTTTCCATATGTTTTAGTTTTTTATATTTTGGAAGAAAGCCATTTTGACAAGAAATCAGAGATTTTGGATTTACAGAAATAAAGTATTTTGGGTTTTTGTGACTTGTGACTCTCAAGTTTCCCCACATTTTTTTGTCTGACTTTTTGAACTTCTTTCATCCTGCCTGTCAATCTCCCCCACCCAGGTGCTATCAACCTATTCTGTCAGGCCAAACAGACACACAAACCTACAGCTCAGCCACCCAAAACATTACATTATTCTGTACTAGTATTTGAAAGTACAAATTTGACATGACATTGTATTTTTTCTCTCCACCTTCTCCAGTGCGCTGAATCGTGTGTTAGAACCAACCATTCTCATGGAGATGACCTTGAGCGATGGAAGAATACAAACTTTTGAGGTAAGAAGTCACAGAGATCAACATACTTTTTTTATCATTGGCATATCAAGCATGCCCTTTTTCGTAAGGCGTAATCAGGCATTTTTACATTGTAGTCTTCATAATCCGTAGGCAGTCTCCCCCAAAATCAACATAATTCGTAATACCGGGGTAGTACCTTAGCTGCGAAGCGTTAAGTCATAATCAGCTCTAAAACTTTAACATAATTCATAATCGGCGACAAAAATTTTGCGTAATTCATAATCACTATCCCCCATGCAGGCCCTCTATCAAGCCTGAACATTTTTAGTTGATATTTTCCATGTAATCTTCCATATTTTTGTATAAATGCAGGTTGAAGGTGGGTATTTTTAGGTCTGTGGATGCAGAAAGTAGTTGCACAGTTTGAGTTGCCTATTCTTAAATTAAAATAATGTAGGTGTGGGACTGATCAGCCAGATCATCAGAAGAGATTAAATATGCTTAGATCTTTGTGATACCAATAACTAGATACTGCATTTAGTTGTAGATTTTATTGTACATGTATATCTGAAGTGGCAAAGACATTTACATGTACTTATCAAACCCTTTTCAAAACATATTAATTCACTCCAGTAGATATCGATGTGGAATGGTCTCTTTGTTACCCCTAATTGATACCTTATTCATAATTAGGCTGTGTTACACAAGCTCCCGGCTTGCGGTTAATGACCCCTGCCCCAGGAGAGGGGGGTGGCAACCTTCTGGCGGCGGCCGCCAGGAGCGCGGTTTAGTCAGGTTTACCTTAGGCCACACCAATTTAATTTCTTGGTTAACGGAATCGCCCGCTTTTTTTCTGACTTCAAAAAAAAAAAAATTAAATTGGTGTGGCCTTATTCTTTCACTCTTGTCATTTTGGCAAAATGACCAAACTGTCCTTGTTACAGGGTTAAGTATGAGGTTTGACCAGTGTATTATTAGGCTTCCAAGATCCTGCTATCTTCAGATAACCTGTGTTGACCCGACTAAATAACCAGTCTCTATAGGATCAAGGAGGGTCAATCAGACTACTAAGTCTTGTATCGAGTTTTCAGCACTTCAGAACTGACAGATTGCAGTCGGTTACATAAGATGTTCTTTTCATTGTACATTGCACTTCTGGAAACTTTCCATTTCATAAATTGTTTGGCACTGGAAAGCAATTATGTTACATAAGGTTGTTTTTTTTTTACACTGAATCACTATAGTAGTACAACTTACATGTTATTACTTATGAAACTTTCCATGTTTGGCAATGCAAAATATTATATAAGTTTTTTTTTTCTTCTTCTTTGTTAAAAGTCAAACTGTATCATGGTAAGTTATGAAACTTTCCATATGTCAGCAGTTAGCCCCTTCTTACTCTAGGCTTAATCTTCAGATGTTGATGTTGCATAAAGCATGCCCATAGCCAGGATTTTGCTTGGGGGTTCTTCCCACTGTCTTGAAGGACCAGTGAGCGCCAAAGCGAGTTTCCTAGGGGAAAATTGAACCTCCAGAAATTACATTTTCTGGGTTTTTGAGAGGATTTCAAAGATAACTTTTTATTCCATGACAAAGTGAAATTCGAACAGTTTTTCTAGGATTCCAACCCCACTGGTGATACAAATCAGTCCACCTTGTAACGAAAAATCTTGGACCTTTAGATAAAAAGTGGAGCTTTGAGCCTTGTGGGGGGGGGTCTTTTCTTTCTTTTGTTTTTTTTAGACTTTTGCAATCTCTAGTGATCCAACAAAGTAAAACTTGCATAAGGACACTTATATTTTCAATGTCAATGTTGAAAACTGATTGTACAAAGTTTCATCATTTAGGCATCAGATCATGGAGCTAAAAAAGGTCGATCGGCTTGAAAAATTTATGTCTCTTGTAGGGGTTCACACAAAAAAGGCTTGTGGTTGGCAGTTTTTTTCTAGGGTTGGTCGGGAAACAGGAAACACATTTTTTTTCCCTGGCCCTAAGCTTACATGTGGGTATATTCAAGGGTATCCTCATTGCTGACTTAAGTCGGGCCAGTTTAAAGTATCTGAAATAAATATCATACATTGTGTACAAACAGCATGCCCGTAGCCAGGATTTTGAATGGGGGGGTTCTTCCAAGTGCTTGAGGGACCAGCGAGCACCGAAGGCACAAGGTTCCTAGGGGGGTCCGGGGGCATGCTCCCCCTGGAAATTTTGAAAAATGAACCTTCTGAAATGGCATTTTGTGCATTTTTGAGAGGATTTCAAAAGAAAAATCAGAAATAACTTTTTATTCAATGACAAAGTGAGCAGTTTTTTGTGTGATTCCAGCCCCGCTGCCGATACGAATCAGTCCATCTAAAGAAAAATATTAGACCTTTAGATAAAAAGTGGACCAAAAAGTGGCTACAGGCATGAACAGGTGCTGTAAATCAAAGTCTTTCATGATCAGGTTGTTCACCTTTCCTGGCTAATCCTTATATAAGTAGTAGTTGTTACATATGACATCTTTTTACCTTACGTAAGCTGTTCTTTCATAAATAATATGAGACAGGTAGCTTTTCTAGAGAATGTTAGTTTAATACCATAATTGTCTACCCCAGGGTATTTTGACCATACACCGTTTTTTGTCACCCTGTCTGCTTTGTAAGCCTTTTGTTCTAGAAACCATTCATATAAGTAGCCTCCATAGCATGCCAAAAACTGGGGGTTTTGGGGGTCTTCATGGTTTTTGGGAGCTTTTATGTGCTATTTCCTGATTGCATATACTATTAGACAACATAGCCGGCCTGGTTGAATCACCCCCGTTTTTAGAACTGGGCTAATCAAAAAACAGCCGAAGACCACCAAACCCTTGTGTTCTATAAGTGCTACGGAGGCTATCACATAAGGAGGAACTGAATTTCTATGGGAAGATGTTTCAATCTCTTGAGAGCTTTGGAAATTACCGAATCTCCATCCTTCAGCGTCCAATTAGATGGATGGGCAATTAGCGCGGTGTCGTCTGTCATACTTTTGTTCCACAGAGATATAAAACCTTCTCTTCTCTTTAAACCCTGATCCTTAAACGAGGGCCTGCAAGGGGGGGTCCCGACAACGCTCTACGCTGAATTCGGAAACCTCTCGATTACGCTTTACGATAAATTCCAAGTGCCTACAACGCATTACGTAGAATTTAAAACGCCGAATATGCTCTACGCAAAAATATTAGAGCGGTCCGTCTACGCTCTACGTAGAATTAAAACGGCCTATTACGCTCTACGGAAAAGGGCTTGCGGGCCCCCTTAAACCCATCCGGGTGTCTAGTAGAAGATGACGCTTATTATACCCAGGCAACACAGGATCCTCCAGATGTTTGAGTGCCATTCTGTATAGTATTAGTAGCACATGTCATGACACAAGGTGGTCGAAACAGTGCATTGGGTATACGTAATATTAAGCTTAACACCATTATGCAAGGCCCTCAGGCAGGTGTAACCTTCTTACGTATATGTAAAACAGTGGTGATCATTGTCTAAGTACGTCCTAAGTTTATGCCTTAATTACCTTCGCCAAGAAGGTTATGTTTTCGTAGGCGTTCGTGTGTGTGTCTGTCTGTCTGTCTGTCTGTCTGTCTGTCTGTAAACACGATAACTTGAGAAGGCTTAAATGGATTGACTTCATATTTGGTAGGTGGGTAGGTCTTGATGAGACCTCGAAATGATTAGATTTTGAGCCCCCTGGCGGCTTCTTATGGTACTGCAGCTGAACTTCCGGTTTTGATATCTCGTGATCTGGACGTGCTAGGGTCACGAAATTTGGATGGTAGGTAGGTCTTGTGCTGGGGAATAAGTGACATAGGTTTGGGCCCCCTATCGGCTTGCTCAGGAACTGCAGGGCCATTTCTTTGAAAATATTCATAAGAGGATAACTCAAGAACCGGTGGACGGATCATCATGATTTTTGTTATGTAAGTAGCTTAAGTGATGCTTGACATAATTATGCGACAATTATGCAAATCTGGACGTAATTTGCATAATTAATGAGGACATTCGGTAAATTAGCTGCATTACATTATAGGACTATTCAAGCTTGAGACATATGTAATTGACAACGAGAAAAACACAGATATTAATTATGTAAATTAACACTTAATTTGCATAATTAATGAGAAAATGTTATAATTCCATAATGGTAACTGCCTGGAATTTCATACTTAGGGTATTTGCAAGTTAAGTGAATGTGAACATCATTAAACATAATTTATTCAAATAAGGACCTCATTTGCATAATTTATGAGGTAATGATAGAATGGCTTTCTTTTTTAAGATAAGGCTGTCTTTTATGGATAATATGATCAACTCATATAATTCATGCAAATTAGGATCCTATTTGCCTAATCAGGAGGAATAATCTTTACTTTGTCATAAAAATTAACATCATTTGGCGAAGGTATGAGATCGTGGGACTCTTGTTTGAGCTATAAGACTTATTAAGAGTATTAATTCATATTGCTCCTGCCACGAGAGATTGATATTTCCTCTCCCAGAATAGATACAGTTTGTACATGATGATTATGAACTTATAACTGTGCTCTTATGTACAAAGGAGGGGAATAGAGGCTGGATGGTTTGGGATCACATGTGGTAAATACACATTGTGTAACACTGATTATCATACAGATGTAGTAAGAAACAAGCCTTAGCATTGGATTATTAAATTGTTAAAAATTTGTTTGAGCTACAATTACATGTATAATCCTACAATGCAGCTCAATTGTGTAGTAAATTATGAAATATGAATGGGAAAATATAGTACATGTACGTCTTTATCAAATTTTTCTGCCTCTATCCTGTTACATAAGACACTCAAGTGTTGGCACACTTATATATAAGTAGAGATTATCCCAATTGGTTACAGCATTATATATAAGCAGCAGGGAGAGAGTTAGCCATCATTGGAAAATTGGGGCCATAAAGAAACAGAAGTGACGTTAACTGTTATATGCAGGCAAATCTAGGTACATACACCTAGTTACTGATTTTTTAAATCAGGGAATCACTCTTAGACTAGGACAAAACACACAGGAGGCAATCAGTAGAGAAAATAACAAGATATCAGTTGAAATTCTTCATCTTCAATGATGTATTGGACTATACACTGTATAATCAGTCTCAGAATGAATTGCATTGGAGGTACAGTATTGTTGCCATCTTGCTCCCTTTGAAAATTTTCTCCCAAAATAGCATTCCTCAGGGATGTAGACGTGAATATAAAGCTGAAGACCATAGGTGAGCGTTACATAACATTTCCTGAGCATGTTATGTAATGTTACGTCAAGGGATTCGACATAAAATATTAATAACATCAAAAAACTGAATGTAGAAGTAGTATCACTGAAACACTGTGAAGGATCTGGCTCTACATATTGTACTTAGGCCCCACCTATTTAATTTCTTAGTTAATGGATTTTTCTAGAAAAATAATGGATGGGTGGGCGAAAAAAAAATAAAAATAAAAACAGGCCTAGGCATCCTATTGTGGACCAAAATGATACGATATATAGGAGTCATGAAGTCAACACACCAGGCTGGTTCAAAATTTAACCAATGAATTTTGAACTTTTAATGATACCACTGCATTGAAAGTTGGAATAACTGTAACAACTAGGAAGAAATGAGACTGTTTTCAACTGTTCAGGGCAAAATATGAGCATTTTGCAGTTGATTCTGATTTTTTTTTTTTTTTGCAAATCAGAAAAAAATTAAGTTGTTACAGTTATTCCATCTTCCAATGCAGTGGTATTCATTGTTTAAATTTTGAACCAGCCTGGTGTGTTGACTTCATGGCTCCTATCGTACCATTTTGGGCCATAATAGGATGCCTAGGCCTGTTTTTATTTTTTTTTTTTTTTCGCCCGACCGCTCCATTATTTTTCTAGAAAAATCCGTTAACCAAGAAATTAAATTGGCATGGCCCTAGCTTGATCAGGATGAGCAGCACCCATCCATGGGACAATGAACCCGTATCAAACACAACAATAGCTCCAAATTACCGAGCAGTGCTGTGTAAAAATAGGATGCCTAGGCCTGTTTTTATTTTTATTTTTTCTTGCCCGCCCACTCCATTATTTTTGTAGAAAAATCCATTAACCAAGAAATTAAATTGGCGTGGCCCTAGCTTGATCAGGATGAGCAGCACCCATCCATGGGACAATGAACCCGTATCAAACACAACAATAGCTCCAAATTACCGAGCAGTGCTGTGTAAAGAGCACTTTTACCTCCCCACGCACGTCAGAGAAACATTCCCACAAGACAGGGTATTACGTAAAGAAGCCGCTTTTCTTCTAGAAGGCTCCACCGACGGATCACAGTAATTATAGGTGTGGCACACGACTCGTGCTTAGATAACAGGTGGGAGGATGGTGTTACGTAGCAGGCTGTTACGAAAGAACCTGGAAGTCGGGAGATTAGATTGGGAATAATTACCAGAGAGGTGTGTAGGCGGGTTGATATTGCAGGGTTCGAAATTCATCTTTGGGAATAGGTTCACCTAAGTGCACCCACCTAAAAATAAATTGGTTCCCAAAAAAATTTGGGTTGTGGTCCATATGAGGTAAAATACTGAGTAGAATGTCTTGACTCAGCAAAAACTAATCACGTTTCATTTCTTAAGAAAAGTACATCATTGTTATAGTAAATTGATTTTACCATTTTTCTGACACTATGATGTTAAGAATATGCTGTATAACACCGAAGGTTTACATATGCAAGATTAGTGATGCATACCGGTTCACTGGACTTGGATCCGGACTTAAAAAATGTTTAGGTTCAAGTCCAAAAAAAACTAAAAGTCAAGAACCGAGTCCGGACTTATTACCATAAAAGACCATTTCACATACCCCTTTTCTTTCCAAACCACCTAAAACCTTCCGTAGATTGTAAAATCTTTGCTGCAAAACAAAGAAAACATTGCCATCGGGCATCGTCAAGTACCGGCCTCCATGTTATGTGGCCAAAGTTTCACCCAGACAACATTGCAAGGTTGCCAACATGCAATTTTGTATATGCCATGGGTTTAGGTCTGGACTTACAAGTCCGGACCTGAACCTAAACCTCTGGACTTGAATCCGGACCTGAACCTGAAATTGGGTTTAGGTATGCATCACTATGCAAGATATTAAAATACGTAAACCTACAGAAATATTTTGGTGCACTGGTGCACCCACAGAAAAAAATTGGGTGCACAGCTCCAAATTTGGGTGCACCAAGGTGCACATGCAGCCAGTCTTTCGAGCCCTGTATCTGATATGTAATAATAGGAATACCACATCAAAGAAAGGACCTTAGTCTGAACGCTTTGTACATTTGCGCAGTCTTTCAAAATCAGAAGTGGCCCGAGCAATATCAAACAGTGCTTTGAATTCTGCTCTTTCAGAAGATTTCCCGGATGCCGTAATTTTTCTCTAATCATGGCCTCCAGACATAACAGGCGAGCAAAAGTTGCCAAGGAGATTTCAAAGCGGGCTGTGATATTTACGTGAAGGAAATTTCATTTCCAATCAAATTTTGATTCAGATCTTATTTCAGAATTCCTGCCTTATATAACGTTATTCCTTTACTCCCTTACCTAACCATATTCCCTTTTGTCCTTACATAACTGCAACAGTCATGTTCCCTTGTGATAGGCTAAGGCCACACCAATTTAATTTCTTGGTTAACGGATTCGCCCGCTTCATTTTTTTCTGATTTGCAAAAAAAAAAAAAAAACAATTCAGAATCAACTGCAAAATGCTCATATTTTGCCCTGAACAGTTAAAAACAGTCCTTTTCTTCCTAGTTGGTACAGTTATTCCATCTTTCAATGCAATGGTATCATTAAAAGTTCAAAATTCATTGGTTAAATTTTGAACCAGCCTGGTGTGTTGACTTCATGGCTCCTGTCGTACCATTTTGGGCCATAATAGGATGCCTAGGCCTGTTTTTGTTTTTTTTTATTTTTTCTCCCGCCCGCTCCATTATTTTTCTAGAAAAATCCGTTAACCAAGAAATTAAATTGGTGTGGCCTTACATAACGTTATTCCGTTTCTCCCTTACCTAACCATGCCATATTTTATCCTTACATAACTGTGACAGTCATGTTCCCCTGTGATAGGCTCAGCACTGTTCCTCAATTCTCAGATCTTTGCCGATTTTCTTTGAAGGCACAGACCAGATAGCCGAGAGGGTTGAGTGTCATATACCAGTCCCTTGATATCAAAGGAAATGATTTCCCTCGTGTTGTCACGTAATCAAAAATGTTTTAATGTTGCCAGGCAGGTCTTGTCAAAACAAAAGTACACACACTTTCTTTTTCAGTTAACACTTTTGAATTATCCTAATCACAGGAAAATCACTTTCTACTTTTTTTTTTTTACATAGATTCAAGTTTTCCGAATTCAATTTGTTGGTTCACGGATTCGCCTGCTTCATTTTTTTCTGATTTTCAACAAAAAAAAAAACATATCAGGCTCGGAATCAACTCCAAAATGCTCATATATTTTGGTCACAACAGTTGAAGTTTTTCCATGTATCAATGCAGTGGTTTGAAACTTTGATCGCAAGTTTGACATCCATTGTTTGAATTACATACTAGCCTGGTATGTTGACTTCATTGCTCCTATCATAGCATTTGGGGGTTTCATAGGATGCGTAAGCTCTGTTATATTTTTTTGTGCCCTGTTGCTACGTTTTTTTTCTGCAAAAAACAAATCAAATTGGTGTAGCCTAAACTATGTACATTTACTTGGAATCCGTGCCTGGGTGGTGTGAGGTATGCAACATTCGTTGTGTCAGACAGTTACGATTTATGTGTCTGCTTTACATTGTCTGGTGACATTTGTAGTGTCTAAACTAACCTGCAGGTCAGGAGAATGGTTCATTACCTACTTTATGTGAACCATATGAAGTGAACCTGCATATCTACGTACATATGTGAACCTGCGTATCTATCTCATCAAGTCAAATTATTTTGCCTTTTGTTACTTTTGGGTATGAATTTTCAAAGTTGTTTTGAGTGGGTCAACCATTCAGGAATAGGTGGACCGGTGCACCCAACTTAAAAAAAATTTGATGCACAAAAATTTTGGGGGGCACACCATTATGAGATAAAACAAGTAGACTACTGTCGGTCTGAAAGTCTGAAATCTCCAGTTTAGTGTTTTTTTATATATACAGTCAGTTACACAACACGATACCAGTCATGATATATAAGAGAGATAAATTTTAATAAATGTAAGATTCAAAACACTAATGCATTATTGTACATTTCTTGTACCTTTAAACTCTAACATTTAATGATTTGGAGTACAATGTATAATTAATACTGAGTGTATACATGTACATGTACATGTACATGTCTTATTTTTACATACAGTGCCAATTTTCAGAAGAAACTACAGTGACTGTAGCTGTTACAATAACTGTAACAATAACTGTGTTTGCTTCAGGTGCCTGTGTCCAAGTTCCACGAGTTGCGGTACAACGTTGCTCACGTGCTACGTGAAATGGAGAGTCTGGAGAAGAGAAACGTGCTGAAGATTCAAGACTAGGCAGCCATGGCGGTATACATCACAAACCTCCAGATAGATTACATGACATTTGTATTGTACATTGTACATCTTATCATAGGCAATGCCATTAACCACCAATCTCATGCCCGTAGCCAGGGGGGGTTCGGGGGGTTCGGAACTTTTTGTGTAAAGGTCCACTTTTTGGTCCACATTTTATGTAGAGGTCTAAAGGTCCAAGATTTTTCTTGAAAAGATGGACTGGAATCGTAGAAAAACTGCTCCCTTTGTCATTGAATAAAAATTTATCTCTGATTTTTTTTTTGGAAATCCTCTCAAAAATGCACGAAATACCATTTTAGAAGGTTCATTTTTCAAAATTTTCCGAGGGAGCATGCCCCCGGACCCCCCTAGGAACCTCGCGACTTCCGCGCTCGAGGTCCCCTCAAGCAGTAGGAAGAACCCCCCCATTCAAAATCCTGGCTACGGGCATGAATCTAGTGGTGGTGGGTGTCTAGATATTAAGATTGGATTATACCACCCCTGGATGAATGATATTGAAGTCTGGATCAACTAAATTTGATAACAATATAACCTGCCTGGTGAGCAGATTGCCAAAGTTATAATCTCAACCAGTTTAAATATACATCCAGGAAAAGCAGGTTAATCCATGCCATTTTCTTATATTTCATATCGTATTCAATGGAAAAAGTATGCCTTCCAATGTTATGTGGGTAAGCAATGTTGTCTTCTCTTAGTTTTCATTTTCCTATAAGCATGATCTGTAAATATTTTGTCAGAAATCCAACATATTCCAGACCTCTAAACTTGAAGATGGCTTCCAGTTAGCATTATCTACACTAACAGAATTCCTTAGCTACGATCAAATAGAAATTTCTTGGAACAGGTCAGTCATCTTTTTCCTGGAATCTTGTGTAAGGTAAAGAAATGTGACTGACTCCATCAGATGAATGAAGTAAATTGAATCAACTTCCCTCAGATTTGTTGTCAGATCATCCAAGGACTTTAGATCATCAAGGTATATTCTGATTACAAGTAGATTTACATGTACATTTTCACCTACCATACTGTGAATGAATGAAGTGGCATGAGACCAAGTACAAGTAATCTTTACAGAGACAGTGGATGATTTGTATTTGATCAATCGCTGATGTCATGTATCTAAAAAGTCTCATGTGAATAAGGTCACGTGTCTGTAACCGTAACTCTCGCAAGTTTATATTCGGAAGTGATTGGTCATTAAGTATCGCGATGAAGGCGACAGTGGTCATTGAAAATTTGGTATCTGTGTAACCCTCGTGTTGGAATAAAGTTCAACATTTTACTATGATCACTACCAACACAGATGAACTTTCATGATAATCTTTTACGATTTTTAACTATCTCCACCCTGACATATCAAGAATAGCTGTGCCCTAGCCTGGCTAAATAACACACCTCTACCTGCCCTCCCACTAGTTACTCTAGCTATGGGCCCAGCACGTCAGCAGAACGTACTGCGCCTGTGCAAAACCCAGATTTTTCACAGATTTTTGGTCGAAGTTGCATCAGAATTTTGCCTGTTGCAGAAGACCTCTTATATGACTTAACATTTGGAAACTACAGACGGGATGTTGACTTTAATGCGCAAATACGACCTTATATGATTGAGACGTTCTGACAAGGTGCTATGCACAATACATTACAGTTTTCACGCAGGTGCAGTATACATGTACAATATATGTTCTGCCGCTGTACTTGAAGGCCCTCTGTGAGGAGCCCATACAGCCCTAAACATTGTGACTAATTCAGTGTTACTACAATGCACGTACATGTATAAACAAGGACAATTCATACAAGAGGAAATGCAGTCACTTTTTTTAATGGTTCCATATATGTATGTACTGTACAGCCTCGGACAGAGGTTCCAACCACCAACCAAAAACAGGAAAAAAAGTTCTTCATACTATCAGTAGAATTATCCCTTATCTACACTGGTCCCTCATGCTCAGTCAAAAGGGACACATTGTGCTAAGTACAATATTGTATCACAAACATTGCGGTGTCTTTTTTGATACAGCATTCTCAGTGATTTTCTTCTTTAGTTTCAATCAAAATAGTTGAGGTTGCGTAGTACAACCGTGTTGTATAAAACAAGATATAACATTGACACTGCTACAAGTGTATCACTTAATAATAACCTGCTGTCCATGACATTAACTTGCCTATAACTAAAGTAGCAAATACACCTTAATAAGAAGAGAGCATACTATTTACAATTCACAAATTGCAAAAAGAACCACTGGTTTTGAAGTTTGAGGCACAATACAATGGCAAATATGTGTAGTGACAAAAAAGGCAGCATTAAGAAACTTGCATTTTATATTTTTTATATTAATAATTATTATAATAATAAAGTGCATTGATTAAAGTACATGTCTACAGATCAATTGGATCAAGTGAGGGACTTAATGCTAAAAACAGTAGTGATGACAATATACCTCAACTTAGTCTCTTTTTTTAACAATCTCACCATTCAGAGCAGCAACAATAGTTTAGAATGTAACACAACCTTTGCGCCTTTCTATCAAGCTTTTCTCTCTCTCATGCCTATTGATATTCTAACCTTTCCTTCCTGAAAAACTCTGGTTTGTAAGTGTACTACTACATACATGTAGTGCCGAACAATTCAAACTGTGCCCTTTCATGGATTCCTGGCGGAACTAATTTTATAGGATTCAAGCACAAATAGAGCAACTAACTTTCACCAATAATTTCCTCAGTTGCTGTGACATTACAACAGAGGTAATGAGTTGTGCAAAAAATATAACAAACATTCCCTGACAATCTATAGCATCGGAGGCTACTCAAGGGTTTTGTGAGAACTGTTTTCTATTTAGAAAGTTACTTATTATTATCTTTAATTCTTGTTCAGCATATGCTTATAAGTCACTAATTCACTGTGTTAAATAATGATTGATATGAGAATGTTAACTAATTATCAAGCATTATCACTGAAAAGTGCATTTGTACTGACATAATACATGTCACTTCTCCATGTAAAGTATACCCATTTAAAGGATAGACTTATTGAATATAGACCTGTTGTTAAATATATTTATCATGAATCAGAAGCAAATGAATTTAGATACAAAACCTGTTAACATGCTTTTTAAGGGCTTATTGAGTACAGACACTTCTGAGGGTACTGCATGAAATCTGAAGCACAATAACTTGTTCTCATCTCACAATTTCAGTGAATACAGATTCTGACACAGTTTCCCTAATATGCCAATATTGCTTGCAATACTTTGGCGACGTTTTCATCGAAAAGACCTGTTTTACATATCAAATCAAGTCGAAACACTTCTCCCTAGTGACGCCAGTTTGCTCGTTTACACGACATGGAAAATGCAACAATTCTCTAACCTCCATCTTGTTATCATAAGATTCAATCCAGGACAAGGAGGTTATCTATTGAAAGCTTCTTGACATCCAGGCAGAGAGGTGCTTGTAACAATGCCAAAGTCTGTGACTTCACACCTTCCTCCAAAATAGGTAACTTTTCAAAGACGCTACATTTCTCCATTTTTAACGTGTAATTTTCTGTTGGCCAAGCTTTTCAAATTTGAGCCTGTATATCACCCGACTATCCTATAATTCCCATGTAATATACGTAAATCCTGAATCTACAATGTGCGCGCTTAATTTAATCATTTAAGTCAGAAAGCTATGAAAGCGGCAGTTACAGCTACAGCTGCTCCTAACACCACCTTCCAGGCTAGGCCTAGTCATTGCCTCCCTCTGATACATGACAGGATGCGTCGCAGGGCCTCTAGCCTGTCCTTGAGCGGAGTCATGACCAGAATGGTGTACTGGATCCGCTGGTCGACCGGCAGGATGGCCAGGAGCCACCACGTCCACGCGGGGCCATCAGGGCTCGCCTGCGGGTCCGCCTCACACTCTGGCATGTTGCCGAAGTGTTGCAAGATCCGGTCGATGGTGTTCGCGGGAAGGCTCTGCACCCAGGCGGTGGCTTCTTGGTAGACCGCTTGGTTCAGCCGCTCGAGCGCTGCCTTCTCTTCGCCCTCCACGCGTGCGTCCGCCATGGGTTCCACCTTGGCGATGTTGTACCCGTCCCGCACGCCACGGTCCAGCACCTTGAAGCGGCTCTTCCCGACGGTGTCGACCACGGAGCGACCATCAGGCATGAAGCTCACGTCACGGATTTCTAGGACCGTACCATGTTCCATGTACCTGGGGGTGGATAGAAAGGACTGGTTATTCTAGGATCAAACACATTACATAAATGTATGTACTACCTAGTCTGTAGTTTTCTTTTAAATCCAATAACCTTTTGAAGATTATTTCAATGAAAATAATAATAATTTGTTTGCTACTGAAGGCTATACAAAGTATTTCAGTAAACTTTACAAATCTTAAGTTACTGACTGTAGTAAAACACATTCCCATCATTTGGTTTAGTTATATTTCAGTCCATACCATGTTTCTCCAACAGTTACTCCTGCCATTTCATTAAATGGATTTAATTTCTTCACTGTTTTCCAACAAAGGAATGTACATTTTAGGCTACTGCGCCCTGGTATTGAAACCAAATGACCTTCATGGATGGGGGTTTTGAGAATATTTGTTACTGAAAAGAACTACATGGGGGTTTCAAGAACAATTGTTACGAACTCTAAACACTTCATACTGGATGATAAAAGTTGATGTGGAACAGTCCATTTTTTTTTGGAATGAGGAGGGAAATGGACTGAAATATGCTGTATTTGCTCTATTTACTGTTATATAGTTTTGCTTACCCTCCATCTGGGGAGTAGATGCACATCCCGAACTGGCGAGTGCCAGTCTCCAGGCAGCGGCGCAGCATGAGCCGGTAGCGGGGCTCAAAGATGTGCAGGGGGCAGGGCACTGTGGGATACGCCACGGTGCACACGAAGATGGGCATCTGTTCCGACAGCCTGTAACATCACACAAACTAGTCAGCACAATCTAACATTCACTCAAACAATGTCCCCTACTAGTCTACACATAGAAAAATACAATTACCATGAATTTTAATAATGACAATTTGCCTCATTACTGCAATTATGTTTAACAAAGGAAAACATATTGTTTTTGCTCTGTTTCTTCTTCCTCTTCTTCTCCAAACCAGAGAGGTCAATGACCTGAACCAGACCGTCCGTTACCATGGAAATTAGTGTTGTTTTATCATGTTGCAATTTTATAGCAGGAGGGATTTAGACTCCTGTCTGACCATATCTATGAATGTATAAATGAGTGAGTAAGAATTAACAGAGCAGACCATATACAGAGGTAAACATTACGCATTTGCTTGGCAAATATTACCTTTCACATGTACAAGTACATCAACTGCAACCTCTTTTAGACCTGTGAAACACACTACCATAGGAGAAGTATCATGTTCCTACCTGGCCAGTTCAGCCACCTCCTCTTCCTGTACAGCTTGCCTCTTCACCTGTTCCTTGCCCAGGAAATGTTTGATGATCTTGTCAATAGTGTCGGTCACCTTGTCTCTCCTTTCTGCCAGGTACTGTGGTAACACAGAAAGAAGTGGAACACTAGTTAACCATCATGTACAAGTCTTGATGACACAAGTATCACATGTTTCAGCAATGCTTGCTCTATCAACAAGTTTCACATCAGACCACAATGTCAACTATCAAGAGTACTAGTACATCACAACCTTTGTACTATGTTACTGAATACCATAAACTATACAACAACAATAGAGATTTTATGTATTTATACAGCTAATTATATGTCAAAATACTTACAATTTTGAGACAGAACTTGCACAGTGGGCACTTATTGTCATGGTCCAGGCATCGCAGGAGGCAGTCTCGGCAGAACGAGTGCCCACAGGGGGTAGTGACTGGATTGTAGAACAGCCTGCAGAACAGCGACAGCCATCATGTTATCCGCTATTACTCTGACCTTTACCTTTAAGTTTACAAGCTGATCGGTTTCACATTTAGAAAAAGCTGGCTCTCACCAAATCCTTTCTCTTAGGCCACACCAATTTAATTTCTTGGTTAACGGATTCGCCGCTTCATTTTTTTCTGATTTGCAAATAAAAATAAAAATTCAGAATCAACTGCAAAATGCTCATATTTTGACCTGAACAGTTGAAAACAGTCCTTTTCATACTTCTTGTTTAAGTCATTCCATCTTTGAATGCAGTGGTATCATTAAAAGTTCAAAATTCATTGTCAAAATTTTGAACCAGCCTGGTGTGTTGACTTCATGGCTTCTATCGTACCATTTTGGGCCATAATAGGATGCCTAGGCCTGTTTTTTATTTT